ATGGTCCCTAAGCCCACTCGAGAAATTGTCATCACTTTCTATATCTATAAAAACTGATCCTATTATTAAATACATGTAGTATTGAATGTATTTTGCAGTATAAAATAAATACAAATACATTTAAAATAAATCAAAAATATATTGAGTAAAATATGTTTATATGTTTTAAGAAAACATATTACTAATTATACAACCAAATATATATGATTTACAATAAAAAAATCATGTGCTCTACCTTCTGAGAAAAGCAATTTGTGTAAGTATAAAATAATTTGTTCTCAAATAATGTGTACTTCTCGTGTTTTTTGTCTGACATCCGTACCAAGAGCAGTAAAAATTAGTAAGAAAGTAAGAACAAGTAAACAGAACACTTATACAACACTTGTTTTGAAAAAAAATATGTTTTCTTATTTGTTAGTAATACTTAAAGTTTAATAAAATAATAACCATGCAGATTATTGAAACTGTCGCGATTTTGGATTAGACATAATACCCACAAATAGAGTCGGGGCTGTATGTATCTAATAAAGATTAAAAGTAAAAAAAATAAATATTAACTATAAACTTAGCTCAATATACAGAAATTAATAACTGGTATTTTGATTAAAAATGATTTTAAATTTTTCCAATGTAAATAAGAAAGTGCGTTGGCACATTTCTATTGAAATTCGGACGTCAGTGCAGATGCATTTCCAAAAACATGTTCAATTTACTCGATGATACTTATCAATAAATTGGTAAGTTTCACATTATATATTTTATAAGTTTATGTTAAGAATAACTCCGAGCGGTAGTAATGTAGTTTGAAATTTTAAGTACATTGTACAAGATCATATAAAATTTTTTTTATAATTTAAACGATTTTCTACTGTTATTTTACTGCAATTATTTAGGCCAAAATTAATAATAACAATAAAAATACTATATCGTAAGTTTTGTAAACGAAAATTTTTGGCAATAAAAAATCACGTCATATATTTAACTAGAAATATGTATTATTATTATTATTATTATTATTATTTTAATATTTTAAAATTATTTATTACATTCGAAACCACAAAAAATAACCTGTGACGTTAAAACTTCGAGGAAAACATTCAAAGTTTTTAAATTTATAAATGAGACAATTTTTTTTCTATTTGAAGGTAAGACTTATTTTCTCCTTTAATTTATTGTTGTCCTTAAATATTGTCACAGTGATTTCTCACGTGCATACTTTTTGTCATCAAATTTTTTTTCATACATATACAAAGATTGATGTTCATCAAATGATACTTTTAATGTGCAAATATCGAACATTCAACTTATATAGTTTATTAGAGTTAAGAACTTAAGTGTATTAAAAAAGCTGAGTGCAGAGTAGTGCGGTAAAAATTGTAGGTTTAACCACGTCGGAACTCCAATTTTTATGAAAACTTCTAACACTCAAAAAATGTAATAAACTATATCAGTTTGGAGATTTTTAAAGTTTGAAAAAGTTTTGCTATCGAGTATAAATACGAAATTAAAAATCGGTATCGAAAAATATTGAAAAACCATTCAAATATTAAATATATATATTTGTAGTACTGAGCAAGAAAACCCTCAATACCTTACATCACTTTTTATTTTTAATTTACCGAGTAACAGTTATAATATCAGCAAGAGTTAGATAACAATACAACATGACATATATCATAAGGTTTTGATCACTATTACGATATCAACAAACATATGACATGCATGTATGATGTATTATATCATTAAACAAAAAATAGTTTCAAAATAATGGAAAATGTTAATAAAACCTTGCTCGCTCTATATTAAACAATAATTTGGCACTCTAGGTGTACATACAATATACATATAATATTATAATACATAATATACCACAATACCACATAGACCGTATAACAATATCATAACCGTACTTGGTTATCAATACTGCAAAGTTTACGCATACACACGTCATGGTGATTCGCCAAGTATGGTCATTCCATTTTTATCCTTTAATTATAAGCATTTTTATAAGTTTATTCATATTTTATTATATTCATTTTGTAATGTTTTTCCGTATACCATATTTTCAGATACTTGGCTATGTTACTATTGAATGTGTATGGTGAAACAAACTATATATTTTTTTTTAACAAAAACACACTTATTTGATAAGCAGATGTATTTTTAAAATATGTTAATGTACAAAAATAAAAATGTCTTAGTTAAAAAATTAGTTTGAATAAAGCATAACAATTCTTAATAACGATTTTACATGAAATACAACCAACTAATTATACTTGAATATAGTGCTCTATAATCTCTATACACGGATAATTGAAAAAAAATATTGAATACTATTATTACTAACTTTAAATTGCTTAACAGTACATCGAAATTTAACTAAAAAAAAAATAAAATAAAAAATAAAAGCAGTTAACAGTTAGTAATGCATATTTAAAAATAAAATAAGTCTATATTGACACACCGTCTCATAATCTTTAAATGTGGTATGAGAAAATATGGAAGTTTTGCAAATATAATGTGTTTGGGTATGTTTAAAAAAAATTAGAAATTCAAAATTTGAAAGGATTCGTTATTAATAAGTGAAAAATATAGGTGATAATACTGGATGAATCACTCTGTATATCCTAGGTATATATTATGGCTATTTATTATAATTACATTTATATAAACGAGTGTCGCACTTGACAATGTACCCTGTTATTTTTAGAGATAATTGTTGTTGAAAAAATCCCAACGTACTATTATATTTTATAATGTAGATTCTGATTATTATTATACGCGTTCGTCCATAATTGGGGTTTCAGTGTGTGCTATGTGCTGCTGTCGAAGAGTTGAATAACGACCTAATAATATGCACACAATGGCCGTCCGCGACAAACTTCTGTGCGCATTAAACACGAAAACACGTGTAGGAGAAACTTTACAGTTTATACGCGTTCATCCCCGGCGTAGGTATTTATTATCCATTCATAATACGTCTCGATCATTACCCGTTAAAGCTCGCGCTACAACTATATACCAAGGTATTAATACTATTATAATATCGATCTGTTTATTTTGTGCAGTGTTGCTATATGCATAACTACGCACAAGTAACAACAAATCTCGGTTACCGTTCGGATCATAATAATTATAATATAATATTGTACAAATATCGAAACAGTATTTATTATTTTGTATTACATCGTGAATTTAGTTTGAAGATCGGTCTTGTTTCGAGTTTAAAATAACGTTTAATCAAAAATGTATCTGATGCAGTCATTTTTCTAGCGAATGATCAAGTTTAAGTTGGGCCTCATCGTAGGTACACGATGCATACAGAATAGCTATCTACACAGCATACAAATAAGTTACCCAGTAGTTGATACTTATTTAATGGTAGGCATTTATTATTATGTTATGTTTTTTCGCAACTCGATTTTAATGAGTAGATCAAAGAGAAAAAAACCTTGTTTGAAATCTATAGATTACGTATTATATCACACTGCACTACTTTGTATCATTATACATCTGATATAATATATATAGATATTATTACTTTGTTTATTTTATGTAGCGTTTTCATGCAAATTACTGTGTAGGTACCTACAAATTTCGTAAACACCATAATAATCATAATGTAGTACACTTTATTACATCTTGAGTTTATTTTGAAGATGAATTCGAGTTTAAAATGATAAGCAAAAAATTAATCTTTAAAAACACATTAATTGACTAAAGGATCAATGCAAAAATAAGACCAATCCATTTTCATCAAAAACAAAATATATAGCTCCAAGAGAATGTTATACATTTTAATGAATAAAACTAATGAATACTTAGTTCTAGCAAAAGTACAAGATAGCTTCAAAATATAAAATTGTTTTGTTTTAACTTTCTTAAGTTTTGAAAAATGGAATTGTCAGTTTTTTGCACGGACGCCTTTTGTTTTCAGACATTTTTGATGTTTCGTCGCATACGATGTAAAAAATACTCATAAAGCTTAAAATATGTTGGTATATTGTATATAAATATAACAGTAGCTGCAGTAGTAGGAGGCGTTATATTAAAAAATATATGCATATGTAGCCATATAATATTATATCAAAATAATTTTAAATTGTATTAATTTTTATATACCCACATAAAGTCAACAAATACTGTGATGGGGGAGGATATACTCCCCCTCACCTTTATGCACGCCACTGAACGGTAAGTATATTATGTTATGCTTGTTCTCAATTCGCAACCAGTTTTTAATGTGACGTATCAAATGAAAAAGCGTCATAATTCGCAACTTATAAGTTAAAGCTGATATTATACCAATATAACGTTATAGTCACTTGGGTGAATTCAAATAAACCCGGATAAACTTTATTGTGATTGCAGTGTTTTTTCAGATCTTCAAACTTGTATTTGATCGGTAAACAATTGTTAAACCCTACGTTATTTCATCTTTGAGAGCTTATGATATGAAATGTATAAAACGTCCAGAAGTTTAAAATTTAAAAAATATTTATGATTTTCGAACCTTAGATCTAGTTTAAAATTAGATTTTAAATTAGATTTTAAACTAGAAAATAATGAAAAATCAAAGTATCATTAAAAAAAAACTAATATTTATTTTTGAACAAAGTCAATGTGTAACATGTGTGAATTTATTATATTATTGTGTTTAGGTTACAACGACGTACATAACGTACTCATACCGTTAATTTAATTCAGCTTAGAAACTATTTACTTGAGCTGCGGAGCTTAACAATTATATTATTATTATTGGTCCAAAAAAACGATTTCAAAGTTTACTTAGGTATAATAATTCCACATTCATATATTATCTTAGTTATTCCATTATTTTTAATACTAGCATTGTACCTGTACGATTATTGCCCTTACAGCCTTACTATATTATTGCCCTTAACTATTGGTCGATTTGTCTGACATTTAAAATAGATACAACTACAATAAACATGCGAATGACAAGCGTATTATGAAGAATAAATTGTCAAAGGACTCACCTGAATGCAGGACTATAGTTGTGATACACAAGATAACGGCGGCGATGTTATAATTATTAACGTTGTTGGCGTCGTGGGTGGTGAAAAACCGTTTCGTGACCATCCGGACGACTGCCATTGCGGTTCCGTCGTCGTCGACAATGGTAACGGAAGTGTTGCAGCACACGCATGTAGGGAGAACTAACCGGCTCTGGAATCACACTGAAAGTAAAACATAAAATCGCCTGTTTAATATTATTATATTTTAGTTTTTTTTTATCCCCGACACATTTTATTATAACCGGATATCCGGTGATTTTTGGCACACCGCAAAGACAACCTGCAGCAGAAGCCGAGACGAATCTGAGGATGCCGATTTCAGAAAAATATACATATATATATATATTATAATATAATATGCAATACAATTAATAAATTTTTCTGTTTTGAAAACACTCTTTACTGAAATGGCATATTGATATTATTATTATAATATGATGTACTATATAGTTAGGAGCCAAGACTGCATTCAATTATTATGTTTATAGACCAATCAACCACGAGTATATTAATATGGTTACACTGTTTACCTACTTATATAAGTTACAGAACTTAAGCGCAACGGCCTATAAAATACCAACTCCCCAACCACCGCCATTAATCATATAATATAACTTGTAGAAAACAAGAAAAGACGTGGATGCATTCAATGACTGACAGGTTTACTGCAGTATAATATTCATCTCCAGCTCAACACATGTGTTTTATAATTTATTTATTTTCACCCTCCGTTATTCGATTGTTTTATCTTATTTTTTATCAGAGCATTTTGATTGAAATAGGTATTCATAATGAGGACACTCCAGATAATATAATCAATTATATGCGCACTTTATACCTAAATTAATAGGTTTGTCTTGACCTAATTACGCTATACAATATTTCCAGACGCATCACTCGCACACTTGATAACACGTCCCGAGGTTAAGGACTACGACAACGATTTTTTTTCAACGATTTGCCACACACTTAAGTTTTGGATATGATTCGTGAATATTCTATATAATGTATAATATATAAACATCCAATTAATTGTTCCCATTAGTTTTTAATTTTTTATTTTCAAAACTAAAATATATTATAGGGTGCACGTCTTGTGTTGAGACTTGGGAATATAATATTTTAATGAAAATAAACGCAGTTGCTGGGGTATTATGATTGAGTATCAAAACAATTTATAGATATCAAAATCACATAATATTTTACAGTAAATTTTTCAGACTATCAAAACATATTTTCAGATTTTCTTATTCACTATTCTATTTTAATTATTTTCAACAACTAATCTCAACATTCGAGTTATTTTCATTCTATCTGCATAAACTTTACTTGTACATTATACCGTATTTAGACTTTACAGTGGTATTATATTTTAATCTGTGATCAAATTTGTTTATTCTTTAGTATCGTTAATAGAACTAAGCAACAGACATCATCTCAAAAATAATTAGTTTGAGTGCCGTAATTGAATTTCCATTCGGTAAGCCATTCGAACGATTGTTAAGAGATAATTCGTTGTGATACGTCTGATGGGTAGGAAGTTCTGGAAAGTCAAAATGTTCACTAATTTTTCATTCGTCGTCCATATTGACATTCATATTATAATTTAGCTTAATTTAAACACAAAACTTATGTAAATCGATAAACATTAAGGAGATTTTTTTATTCTATGATTATTATTATTTAAAGCTATTACGTTCACATTTCTTCCGATGGCTCGCTATTAATTATCGTATCAATAATAATTAGTGTCTTTATATTTAATTTAACTAATGTGTCCAGTCGGGCAATTTAACATAGTAAAACAATCAACAAATGCAAAACAACATGCAATAACAGTTTATTATACAGGTATACAGTGACTTAGTAAATTATAAAAGTCAAACCAGAAAAGATATATATGGCCAAATAATTAGACTGAGCAGTAAAGAAGAATTTTTTAATTCGATTTGAGCATTTTTTTAAGTATTTGAGAATTTAATGCTACACGTCATGATTGCTTCCATAAGAGTAGTGGGAAGGATCAATGAGAGAATTGACTCTAATTTGGTAAAAAGAAACATGAAACTGAATTGTATAGAGTATAGAATGTCGAGGAAAGCATTGATGTAAAATGAACTAAGCTGAATATGTTGGCAGCAAGACGGTGAGCAGAAAACGAAGGAATATTTAACGATAAATTACGAACAAGAGAGTAATCGTGTTTGTGATGATCAATTTTCTGTAAGTACTATATACAGCATTAGTAAGGAATTTGTGTTCTGTGCACGTTAGAGCCTTAATTGATCCGTTCCTAAATATGGACGCCAAACCACTGCACCATATTCTAGTGTAGATTAGACAAAAGCAAAATAAGAGAGACAACGAGAAAAAAACGATATGAGGTGAACATTTTAGCGAACTGCTTTTGTAAACCCTAAAATCTTAAGAGCTTTACAAGTAGTTATCTTCATGTAGTGCTCTAAACACAATGGTAGGGAGTAAATAATTCAGAGGACCTTGATGAGAAACATTAAATAAAACAGGCTGATTTTGAAAGTCCAAAATGCGAGATGAATAAAAATGGAAGTACACGACCTTGTACAAGCCATGACAACATATTTAGCATGGTTGAATGATAAATCAAGGCGCTGAACCCGAGAAGAAAATATGATAAGTTCAAATTGAAGCAGAGGGCAGTTATCAAGAGCATACATTTTTATAGATTTTTATTTTATCAGCAAATAGGAGGGATTTCACATGAAGATGTGTGCTATAAATGTAGGTTATAGGAAGTATTTCTGAATTCTGCCACTTAAACTGTTAAATAATTAAGGAGGATTGTTTTTCAGAGTCATTGAAAGCAGAAAATATATTGTATTGGTTGTGGACTGAAGTACTAAATATACTCGCTGCAGAAATCAAGATTCAAGAGTCGAGATCTAGAAAATGTGTGCAAATATTAAAGTTGAGTTTTCAAAATAATATTTAAAATAGTACTCTAAATAAATATCTGGGTTAAAATATGTATAGATATAATGAAAAAACTATGGTGTTCAAACGAAATCGTATTATACTTGCACAATATTATTTATAAAGTAACGCCCTTTAACTAACAATCGTAGATAGATTGGAAACATAGAACAAAGCGTATGAATAATAATAGCAATATAATATTTTATATTCATATATAGTGTACATAAGCTAAGATAAATATACTATATAATATAGATATAATATAGAATAATAATATGATATGTCCCTTGCCCGTCATTGATGATAAATAATAATGATCGTATTTTTATTTGATTTATTTATAATGTACTTAGATACTTACTTGTATTATGTTCGTTTTTGCTACGGTTTATCGAAAGAGACATTAACTTGATGAAAATATTTTTTATAAACTTTTAAATTTTTTAACTTATCCACCAGTTCTTGTGACCATTAATAATACCTACTTAGTATTTTCCGGTTGATGTGAAGAATTATACATCGAGACGTTAGAATCATATTTGTAACTGATATCTACTATAAGTAGTTAAAATATAAAATGCGTTTATTTATTTGTTTTTTGCACCAAAACTTCTTAAAATGGTGCATCGAAAATAATTTGGGAGTAAATTTACGCTAAAGAGCTTCACAATATTTCCGAAATTGACTTTTCCATGAAATCGTTTTCATGGATGAAATACATTTATATTGGAACAACAACCATATAAATCTGATTATTTTCTTTTGAGTTATCATACCTTGGTACATTTTGTTAATTTTTTCTGTGGTAATAAAAGGGATAAAGAATTTTTAAAGTTGTCACTTGAACAATATTTCAATATATTATATGGACTTTCCTGATCGTTACAGAGGCCCATTATTTATTTAGGTAAGTGTTATTATATTATTGTTATGTTATAAGTGAAACATGGTGATTTGTTAAGTTTGTTTACATAGTCGAAAAAAAAAGGAAATTATTTAAGTACATCGCTTAGCCGCGGCATCGGCAAAGGAAAAATATTGTTTATTGCCGTATCTGCAGTCAATCGTTGTGTTATCGGTTTACCAGTTGTAAATTATTAGAAACGAATTAGAACCTCATTTTTATTTATTTGAAGTTATAAATTATACTACTTAATGCGTTGATAATGTCATAATCTTAAAGCCATAATTGTTTATACATTAAGTTATACAACAAGTGTAATTTAAAATTTCCCATCATTTCTTATCTTTATATAATAATAAAAGGTAATAAATTAATTTCAATTGAAATGTTATTTTTATTTTATTCTAATACAATCCTAATTCTATAAAGAAGTTTCACTTCATCCTCGCGTACTCATGTCTCGCACAACACGCACAACACTCACATTATTTTTACTCACACTGTATACCTACAAAGTTCAATAATCAAGGATTTTAAACCAGTAAATATTTTTGTTGCAATAATTTATTAAGAGCTAAGAGAATATTGTAATTTCACCTGACCACTACAGAATCAAATAATTTGGTAAAATTATTAGTTATTTAATAAGATAAATTTAGAGAACATTATAAATCATTTCAAGTGTAATCAATAAAAAATAACCATTTTTTTGATAAGAAAATTCAATACAGCTTCAATACATTTCGTATTTACTTTAAACGTTTAGATTTAAATAGTATTAAGTACCTATATTATTATTATAAATACATTATTTTATTCAATTATAAAATCTCAGAGTTTACATAGATCTGAAGTTGTCGTTGACCGTTGTTTCCGTGGATCATAATATTATGATATTATGATATTATTATATTATTATATTATTATGGTACGTCAGGTATACACAATATACATCATGATTCGAAATAACATAATAATATATAGGTACATGTAATATTATAATAAAATACTTGGTGTTGCTCGATTAGGAAAACTCCGTGCGGGATGTTCCGCGACAGTTTTTAAGTTTTACGAAACTACGCTTGTCATTAACACCCGACGTGCTGCAGCCTGCAATATTATATTACATAATATTATAACAATATATTATAATATATATTATATACACTCGGGATACCTATTTTTGTTTTCCCCCATAAAATATTATTTTACGTCGTTATCGCATAAATCGCGCATAATGGTATATTTGAACTGGCGCGGCCAGCATATTATTATCGTTTCGATTTGCCGAGCGCGAACATTA